TGTGCCATTTGTGTCCTAAAGTATTCGATACGACATTTGTGTCCTAAACTATTTTTCCTTTAGAGTTGACCGGCATTGACTGTTAGTTTTTAACAGAAAGTCTAGTCAGCGCTGATGTGGCATCTGAAGTGGAATATATAATATTAATTTATAATAATTTTTCATATAAAAAATTAAAATTCCAAAATAAAAAAACTAATTACCCTTCCCTCTCCCGTCTCCCGACCTCCGCCGCCGCAACTTGGAGTCCTCGTCGATCGGGATGGTCGCCTCGTCTTCACCGGAGGGTTTGGTTCATCTATGTCATCGGTCGTCTCCTCTCATTCTTTCCCTCTTCTCGATTGATTAGAAACCGTCGACCTTTCGCTCCTCCCAATGAAACCCAGATCCAATGAAACCAACAATGGCGGCATTGAAATTAGAGCTGCAGCGACGAAGAGAAATTTGAATACGGCGGAGTCGGAGATGGTTTTGGGGATATACAGGTTTCCATCGACGATTTGGAAGGGGTTCGAGCTTCCCTCCGTCTCCTTGTCAACGATTTGGAAGGGTGTCGAGCTGTAGCCCAGCATAACAGAATACCCAAGCCATAAATCCCCAGAAATCCAAACCTCCGAACCACAAATTGAACTTCTTCTTCCTCCAACCTGGTTCGGAATTGGCTTCGTCGCCACCGGCCACCACAGGCTGAAACCCCTTCTCCATCTTATCTTGTCAATTCCATCCGCCTCTCGCACCCTCCCTCCCTCTTGACATCGACCATTCTTCCCTTCTTCCTCCGTCACCGCCAAATCCAGTAAGAGAGAGAGAGAGAGAGAGAGAGATATGTGCAGCGGGTTGCGGCGCTAGGCCAGTCGAAGAAAAGAGGCGAGAGAGATCAAAGAACAGAGGCGGAGATGAATCGTATTCTCCGGTGGCTGGGCCGCTTTTGGTTGAGGATTGAAGAACAGAGGCGGAGGGAGGTAGCTAGGCCGGTTTTTTTTACTTTTTTTTTAAAAAAAATTTAAAAATTTAATCAAAAAATAATATTTAATGATGTGGCATCTACATGGCAGCTATTGTTTTGCCACGTCAGCAAATCTGTGATGTCCGTTTGGTCAACCATTATCTATAACGGTCAACGAAATCGTCAAGACATAAATGACACACAACTATCATACGTTAGGACACAAATGTCGTATCGAATACTTTAGGACACAAATGGCACAAAGTTAATAGTTCGGGTATCCCAGTGGTATTAGCCCTATTTACAATAAAATACATCAGTAATGAGATTTAAACCGTGGTCTTTTCGAACAAAGAGAAGAAGCATAACCAGTTACAATAAACACATTTGTGTGATCTTTTTCAATTAAAAACATACATGAAACTTAAATCTGAAAAATATAGGACTTTTCCACCAGGATTAGCAACCGAAATGTCAATGATTCAAATATTGCATATCGAATTACACTCTTGAATTTGTAGAAGCGATGTAGAATTCTTAACATAGACTTAATTGTTATAACTATCATAAAGTAACAATATTTTTAAACACAGAATTTTTGAGTGAATATGGGCACATGTGTCTTTAAGAGAGGGGTGTATATGGAAATGTTAAGTGATGTTGGTTTGCCGAACGTGGATGGAAAACACTACTAATGTAAACGGACCCAAATAGTGTCCCGACCCACTAAACGCTCAACCATCATCGTCTCTCCAAACTTCTCATCAAACTCAACAACCGGCTAACCTCCTCTACCTCTATTATTCAGCCAAAGCAATTTTTGAAGGGATAAATAACGAAAGATTGAGTGTTGTTGGTTTGCCCAACGCAAATGGAAAAGGTGCTATTAATGTAAACATGCCCAAATAGTATCCGACCAACTAAACACTCAACCACCGGGTTACTTTCGCTACACCTAATATAAGAGTGAAATGGGAAAGGTGCTTCCCCCATTACAAAATCTTTGCATCCATAGCAAAAGTAGAAATGGTATATTCGTCTTCACAGTCATTTATTATTTTCTTATTTACAAGAAAAATACATAAGTGATGGGATTTGAATTGTGATCTCTTTGAGAAAAGACAAGAAACATAATCAGTTACACTAAGCAAATTTGTTTAAAATTTTTAAATTAAAAACATACAGGAAGCTTAAATATGAAAAATCATTGGAATTTTCCATCACAGTTAGCTAAGCCACTAACTCTCCCCTAAATATTTTTTTGGTATTTGATACTTCTATTTTCATACTTTGATTATTTTAATTCGAGTTTAATAATTAATTCTATTTCTATTTATTTTATAAAAAGGAGAATAGTTTTATAATTGCAAGCCTAATGTTATTGGTGCAAATATTGTACATCGAATTGCAGTATTGAATGCGTAGAAGCGATGCTGAATTCTTGACATAGCTTAAAATTTAAATAATATAACTACCATAAAGCAACAATATTTTTGAACATAGAAGTTTTGAGTGAATATGTGGCACATGTGTTTTTAAGAGGGGTAAATATGGAAAGGTTGAGTGATGTTAATTTGTCGAATGCAGATTGAAAAGCCGAAACTAATGTAAATAGGTCTAAATGGTGTCCCGACCTACGTACTAAACGCTCAACCATTGTCGTCTCTCCAAACCTTCCCACCGGACTCGACAACCGCCTAACCTCCTCCGCCTATATTGTTACGCAAAGCAATTTCGGATGAGTAAATATGGAAAGTTTGAGTGTTCTTGCTTGGAGAGCTGACTGGTGGGTTATTTAGTTTCTTTGACAGTAATGTGTAATCTCTTAACATCAGTTCATTTGGTTGATCTTCTAGGTTGACTTTTGAGTTGATTAAAGATAAATAGTGTCCCGGGCTCCCGTCCTACTAAAGGCTCAACCATCACCGTCTGTCCAAACCTTCCCATCGGACTCGACAACCGCCTAACCTCCTCCAACTATATTATTACACAAAGCAATTTTTGGAGGGGTAAATATGTAAAGGTTGAGTGTTCTTGCTTAGAGAGCTTGCTGATGGGTTATTTAATTTCTTTGATAGTAATATATGATCTCTTAACATTAGTTCATTTGGTTGATCTTCTATGTTGCCTTTTGAGTTGATTATAGATAAATAACTATACTTTTTGTTGCCTTCTGATTTGAAATGTTTTGTTGGTTAGTTTCTAGTAAACAAGGACTATTCTGATTAGTGTTAACATAGGGAATAGCTTCAATCATACCACTTTTACACAAAATCTATATGTAAGAGCTGAGATCATTGCTGAATTGAACTATTCAAGCTATAATGCTGATCTTCAACATATAAAACATAGTTTCTTTTGAGTGAAATAACCTCATGATTGCAGATAATTTTTTACAATATGATGTTTTGTGATAGTTGTCACTTGCTTCCAGATTTAAAAGTGGGGTTCTAATTACTACAATCTACACATAATAGAATAGCAGAAAGGAAAAAACCATTCCCCCTTCCCCGATTTCAAAATTCCTGCTCCAGGAGCGTTTGTATGAAGGGTATAATAGTGAGTATCAATTTTTCTCTCTTTCCTCTGTGGAACGGGCCAACTTACCGTACATGTGTGGACTTGAACGGGCCGGAGATTGTTGTGGCCCACAAAAACAGAGCAGGTTTCAGCCACGGCTGCATCCATTTCGTGCCTCCATAGCAATCACTGTAACAGAGTCTTGGATTGTTTCGATGCTGGATTTGAACTCCACCGACACCGGGAATAAATGAAATAATTAGAGAAAGAGAGCTTCATAATTGTTTACAAAATAATTTCCCAATCCTTCTTCCGTGTGCAAATCGCCTAATCCCTTCCCTATGAAAAGAAATTCAAGGATACTAAAATGATCCAGTCATGCTCATGAAGAAGGGTGGTAAATTGCATGCAAGTAAAATTTAAAGATTGAGTCATCTAATCAAATGGTAATCAACCACCCATTTCCATCATTCGCAAGCTCTAACAGATAAGTGACAAAGAAATCCACAATGTCGCTTCACTGTAATAATACAGTATTTATTTAATATTGGTGGCTTTCTCTTCTTCTTGGTTAAACTAGCATCAAAAATAGACAAAGAGGGGTTTAAACAAGTGATAAAAGAAGGGAAGATTAAGAAATGAAAAACAGAGACCAAGAGGGGGAGTTGAAATTGAGGTTCGGGGGGAGGATGACATGCAGGGTTTGCACTTTGCAGAGCTAAAATTAACAGCAGGAAAACGAGGATGGGGAGGAGTGGCTACCGGTGGCGGTATAATTGAGATCGAGAGAGAGAAGTGAACCATGTGCCGGTGAGCACTGAGAAGCTTTTTCTAGGGGATATAGGATTTTCTTTAAGCCCTTTTATTTCTTGGTGTTGGTAAGATATATATGAAAGGGCAAAAACAATACTACTTTTGTATTGCTAAAAAAAAAATTTAACAATAAAACAATGCATGGATTCTAACGGGCTAACCGCTAACCATAGAATAAAAGAGTTGAATGTGCCTGACTCATACGGGATTTGACCATCAAGTAAAACAAATGAACATCATGAGTTTGTCATCCTAAAACAAGCTATTTTCTCGAGCATACATATATTATGCTATTATTTTATATCTTAGTGGCTAAAATATAATGTATTTTAAAGTTATTAAATGGTTCGTCCTCGATCAACCGGATTAGTCTAATTTTTATAATTTCAAATATATATTATGTAATTATTTGATATCCTAATGATTAACTTATAGTGTATTTTATAGGCAATTTTTTATTCGGTTTTCTCGAATTCTGTTTTCTATAAAACTTACTCCGCCTCATTATATTACCATAAATAATACTGTTCCACATGGTAACAGGTATTCGAACTTGGTTCATAAGGCTGATTTTTGATTCGTTGCATCGTCCATGCCGCTTTCCTGCTAAAATTCACTATCTTTATAACGTGTTTCAAAAAAAAAAATACAATAAAAAGCTATACACCCCATTAAATTCTCAAATTTCATATCTCACCTTCCTCCGCCCAACTCGCATACAAAATCACTACAAATATTGGTAATAACAATAAATATATTTATTGGGGTGGGGAGGAAGGAACAAAAAGGACAAAAAGTCAAAAACATAATAATAGGCCGGTAGTAGTACCCATAACCCAATACTAGTCTAGTCGTCGTCTGGCGAATCTCCAATCTTACGGCCGTTGATGAAACAGCCGCTGCCAAAGTACAAACCCAGACTCCCTCCCCCAAAATCCCCCATTTGATCGCAGAAACCCCCCAAAAAACCTTCCACCTCCACCCCTCTCAGATTCTCCGACCTACCCATCTCTCTTTTCGCCGTCCGCCATTGTTTCTCCCGATTGCCCGAGACGGCCGCTCCTCCGTCAATCGGTCATTCCTTCCGTTTCCTCAGCTTCAATTTTGCGGCTTTTCCTCCCACAAAGTCAAGACAGCAGACTGAAATTGAACTGGCGTTGGTGGTGATGATACGATAATCAGCTGCCTCTCTCTTTGTGTCCTCTTTCTAGGGCTTTCCGGAGATTGTTTTGAGGTATGCTGATTTTTTACCTTGCCTTTCCGAGTTCACGAGGGGAGAGAGTTGGCGTTTTCTGCGCATTGGTCTTTTCTCTGAGGTGTTCTTTTGCCATCTACAAAACCCATTCACTCGATTCGAATGCATGCCGTTTTACTAAAATGTATCTTCTACACGTAATGATGATAGCTTTGGTTGGTGCTGACTGAATAGGGATAAGAGTGAATGAACTAGTTCCTGGCGATATTCTGTGGTATGGACTTCTAGTATTAGTGGGTAATTGGTTGTTTGTTTATGAGATTTAGAGTTCGGGTTTCCTTAAGTGCTTCTCCTGAAATGTCAATTGGGTTTTCCTTTCTGCAGTGGGCATGCAAGTATACCTCCGGAGACCAGAATCATAGGTGTTGGGAAATGGGTCCTCTTGACATTAATATACTTGTTCTTTGAGGAGAATAAGTAAAGAGTTTGTAAGGTGTGCTATGGCTCGCAAAGGTAGTCAACAGAAGAATGGAATACCGAACCATAAGAAAAAAATCTCAGACTCAGAGTTGAAAGGACAAGGTAAAGCCAGTCAGGCAAAGGTTCTCCCAGGAGATGATCTGATAACTGGTGTTCCGCCAACTATTCCTGTTACAGATGCTACTAGGGAAACCGTGCATGTTGGAGATGAGAACAGAGTCAAGCACCAAAAGTATGGGAAGTCTCAGAACAAAGAGAAGCAAGGAACAGATGGGATTTATAATGTAGAAGAATCAGTATCATGTGATAGTAATTTGAGCGATCCCATTAATCCTTCTCCGGAAAGTACCGGGTTGAGAGAAGAACATGGACAAGGAACTGGTAGTGTAAGTGGTCCTACCAACTGGACGAGCAACTCAGGCTACTTGATGGATCAGTTTCATGTTAGAAATTTCATGGAAAATGTGAATGTTTCCGGAGATGTAGCTTTTAGAAACTTGAGAGCAACATCTTTGTCCATGTTGAAGGCAGCAGGTGAGTGGATTGAGAAGCAGAGGCCATTGCTTGTTATCCTCACTTCCTACCTATGCAATGCTCGTGATTATGCTAAACAGAAGTTTGAGCTAGCTTATCCCTTCGTTTTGAAATGGCTCTGGCATCTTGGGAATATAGTCCTCTTTTTATCAATGGTTTGGTTGGATTTCACTCTAAGAGGAGTAGGTTCCTTTCTACGCATGGGAACAACATCATTTTTCTCACTTATATGGTGCAGCATTCTATCAATTGCTGCCATGGTTGGGATATTCAAGTTCCTTATTGTCCTGGTAAGTCCTCTTGATTATGCTTCATCAACTCACTTAGCAGAGCTCCAAGTTATGCATCTTAAAGACTTTTTGCCATTTAATGTATAGCCTCCAGCTTTAGTTTCTGGTCATACATCATATAAAGTAGTTGAAGTCCTTTTGGCACTTAATATCTTCTGTTTCCTCAGTTATTAGGAACCGTCATCAGTAGTTTTATTAATCCATTTGGATACCAGTGCGTATACCAGTTACCTGTTATATACCCTGGTGTCGCTGTTATCAGAATTTGGCTTCACTATAATCTTTATCTCTATTGTCTATAATGTTTACTAAATGTCAAATTGCGCAGGTCATAGCTGCTGCTGTTGGAGTTTTAATAGGTTTTACCCTTGGGATTTTAGTAGTTGCTATTTCTGCTACTATTTTCCTATGGTGTTATGGAAGCTTTTGGACAACAGCATGCATTACAGCAATATCTGGTAACTGTGTTCACTTTCTGAATGCATTTCATCTACTTTCTTACAGATGTGAACGCTGACCTTTTTCCTCCCTGTCATTCTTCAGGATTGGCATTCATATCAAGCCATGAAAGTCTTGCTTTACTAATCGCCACTGTTTACTCGGTGTACTGTGCATGGGGATATGTTGGATGGCTTGGTTTACTTTTGGCATTGAATTTGGCTTTTATCTCAAGTGACATTTTGGTTTACTTCCTAAAGAATAATGTGAACCAGCATAGAAGCTCTGATGGATCATCTGAGAATTCAGCTGGACCAGAAGGTCAACCCAACTTCTCAACTGGTGAATCTTTCCCACATGGATTCCCGGAATCTATGCCTGGGGTGTCTGTAGACCGTAGCCCTGGTGTGGCGTCAACCAGTGGAGCGGACTCAGATTTAAGTTCTGAAGATGAGGTTATCCGGTTGTTGAACTGTGCTGATCACTATTCCGTGTTGGGACTGGGCCGCTATGAGCCTGTAGATGTTACTCTACTGAAGAGGGAATATAGGAAAAAGGTATGGTGTTATTACCACTGTCCCATGTACTTCATATCATGCTCTCAAACTTCAAGAATTGCTTCATTGAGTTGAGTATTTGAATATGACTTCCTCATTCTTTATTATTGCTGTTATATCAAGTTTGTGGTTTGAACTATCTTCAGGCGATGTTGGTTCATCCTGACAAGAACATGGGCAATGATAAGGCAGCAGAAGCCTTTAAAAAACTTCAAAACGCATATGAGGTAAATGACTGGGTTCTACCTGTTTAAGCACAACACAAAGTTTTTATCTGAGATTTTCTCTTATTTTGGTTTTTCATTCTAGGTATTACTTGATTCCTCAAAGCAAAAAGCATACGATGACGATTTGCGGAGGGAAGAATTGTTAAACTATTTCCGCCGTTTTCATAGCAACTCCCAAAAGGTTTGCTTACATATATATTTCCCCTGCTATTACTTGTCCTCGTCTTATCTGCATAAACATTCTTGCCTCGTTCTTGAAGCTCTGGTTGTGATATGTGTTATTTGAGGCTCTTTGATTTCCTTTGGACTTCTGTAAGAAGAAACATTACTTCGAGCTAGAATACGACTGCAAATATATTCCTTTTAAGTGCTCTGATTGTAAGCTTTGCGTCTCACATGACTAATTTACCCAGAATGGAATACATGGTCCCTTCCCACCTGGATTCACACATCCAGAAGCTGATGGAGATCCTTTTGGTGATTCAAGACGAATAGCCTGCAAAAAGTGTGGCAACTTCCATATCTGGGTCCATACTGGGAAACAAAAATCTCGTGCAAGATGGTGTCAGGTTTTCCCTTTCACAGGCTATTTTGTAGAAATTATTTGATTTTTGTGGTCTTGAAGCTAGGATTAAGCACTTGGTGCATCTGATCTTCCAGCGTTGCTTTGTAGCCAATTGATTTTCTTATAGTCCTTGTTATTCTTACTTGCTTACTGTTTGTAATTCCGTAGGAATGCAAAGATTTGCATCCAGCAAAAGATGGAGATGGATGGGTTGAGCAGTCTACACAACCATTCTTATTTGGGTTACTACAGAAGGTATGTGCCGGTACTTTATTGTTTATCCTTCTGAAGCTGATTAGCAGGGTTGTCAAAAGCATTCCTCAGGCAACCAGTTTGTGCCCCGTTTGTGTCTGCTAATTACTTGTTTTCGACCAATGTCCTTGTGTATGATATCGGTTTTTGCCTTTTGCTTTTATCTAGAGAGGTTATTGCAAGAACCAATCATTTCAAATCCAAATAATTATTTGGAAGATGCAAACTCTTCCTATGAAATCTGCTAATCAGGGTGAAAATGTATAACAGTGTGCTAGTAGATCTATGCACAATCATAGAAGGCATAATGAAGTTCAAGTGTGTCATAGGAGCAGATATTAGAAGTTGAAGTGTGTGAAAAAATTATTAAAACAGATTAAAAGATTGTGAAATGATCAAGGGGCCTCATAATTAATTGACTTCTTTAGGAAGATGAAATTGCTAGAAGATCTGAGTTTTGCTAGCCAAAGTTTTGGAATATTATGGAATAGACCGAAGATAAGGCTGAAACTGTAGAAATCATGAGTACCGTGTGGTCCACATCAAACCAAAATCCCATTTTGAAGGTGGAAACTAAGAGTTGAAGGATATATGTTATCAAGAAGTTGGTTTTTAGATCAACTGGCACCTGTTGAATCAATACCTACTAGAGTTAATGTAAGGCGTACTATAACTGTAAGTGTAGCCTCCATTAGATATGAGTTGATTTCTTAAGCTATTTAGTAGGTCATTCAGTTGATAAGATGGGTGCGCCATGCTTTGCTCCTACTTTAACCCTTTCCCTTTCGACCGTCATTCCTTCATCCACACTGAAACCAGTATACACATATGCAGGTGGAACCCCCTTGTGCTTATGTTTGTGCAGATAGCAAGATATACAATGCCACCGAATGGTATAATTGTCAGGTGAGAGAATACTACTTCCTTTCTCTCGGCTGGTATCGTATCATAACCGTTGCCTCTACATGCTAAAAATTTGTATTCCAACACTGCTTTCTAACAGGGAATGAGATGTCCAGTCAATACCCACAAACCTAGTTTCCATGTGAATACTAGTCTTACCTCCAAACACCCAAATCCCAACAAGGGTCCAACAAGCACGGCCGCTAAAGGCCCCCGGGTGCCTCCTCCACCTCGACCATCGCCTAACTTGGAAGAAACAATGACGGAGGAAGAGTTCTTCGAGTGGTTTCAGAATGCCGTGCAGTCTGGGATGTTTGAGAACTTCGGCGGTACTTCTGCCGCCGAGACCCCATCCTCTTCCAAGGCAGCTGGTGGAAGTGGTAGTGGGGGTAACAGTAGGAAGAAGAAAGGAGGGAGAAGCAATGGTAAGAGAAGGTGAATGAATGATGGTAAGTAGGGGGTGATCGTTTACTTGTTGGTAAGCCCTTTCTTCTTGTTACCATGTTGTGGCCAAGGGCACGAGAACAGAGATAGATAGAGAGAGGGCTGTTGTAAGAAGTGGCTTTCATTTAGCGATTGCCCGCAGTTAGTGCGCTTAATGCGAGATGAAGGCTGAAGGAGGAGGAAACTTGGCCTGCTTGATTTTTGGGCTGGTAAGACAGCGGCTTATGCGTGTAACTGTAATCTCGAGGGGCCGAGGAGTAAGATGGAAAGAGTAGTTTAAGAGATTGCTAGTTCCAACTTTCATCTCATAGTCATTTTTCTTTGTACTAAAGCTTGTTTTGCTTGTTGCCTTCCCTTTCGCCTTTATTTTTGACGGCCTATTCCCCAGCTCCGCCAACACAACCACCACTACTGCCATTGTCGAATGTGATCATTATAGCTCTCGATACTTCGAATGATACGATCCGTATTGACATATTAACTCGGCATAGCTTGCTATTCGTATTTTACTATTACTTGACAAGTCTTAATCATGTTGGCTCTAGATTCTACTAGTGACAAATTGTAGCACACCATTTGCTAGATGGATAAATTGTTACTAATGACAAATTGTACCCCTATGAAACTACCATACAACATCATCAACAATAAAACCTAAAATAGCAAATCACAAATACAATGAGAAACATCTCAAACCCTAAACCACTTAAACCTATTCAGACAACTCATAAAAGGCCAAACCACAACGGTCCAACCCTGAATTTGGAATCACTATGACCCAACCGGGTACGACGGGGTTTTTTTTTTTTTTGGTAATAATACGAGTATACGACGGGATTTTCAAGTTGGAGCGCTCAAATTTCTGAATGAAAGGGCGGGTCGGCTGGCCCGGCCCATCTATGTACTTGTATCACATTAAACTTCTCCACCGGAGCTGCTGCTGTAGTCGGCGCAGCTTGTCGTCAATGGAGTCGCTTTTCCACACCTCCTCTGTATTCTATCCAAGCCCAACCCTCGTCGGACGACGAGCAATCGGCGGTGGAAGCAGAAACTCTGCCCTCTCTTTCAACCTCCCCCTTCATTTCTCTTCCTCGTCTTCTCCTTCTTCCTCCGCTCCTCCGCCGACCCTCAATTTGAGGAGGAAATCGACTGCGGCAGTTCGTGCTCGGAAGAAGAAAGACAAGAAATACGACGATGACGGCCATTACTTCGCTCCCAAACAAGATGAATCCACCGGACCTTTCCCCGAAGCCGTCCTCCTCCGGCAGGTCCTCTCTCGCTCTCTCCGTTTTTCAGTGGGGTTTTGCTGCGGTTTAGCCCTTTTCTTCATTCCTCTCGTCTTAAGCTCTTTATATATTGCCATGGATTGCAGAAGCAAGTGCAGGAAGACGGCAGCGTGATGCCCGAATTCGCTGACGATGAAGAAGGTAGAACTCGTTATCTCTAACCCCGTGTTGTTTTTTCTTGAAGAAATTGATGAATTGTAGTCGTGATGATTAATTGTTTGATGGATTTCTGCAGAAGAGCTATACGAATTTCTTAACCTGGAGCTTCAAAGCGATTTGAAGGTCGACCTCAGTATGTAACTCAACGTTTCCTTTTGTTTCTCGTTCAACTCCCTCTGCCGCTTCTCTGCTCCTTCAGCTCATTTCGGAGGCCCTTCCATTCCATGGTTGAATTGAGGGCTCTGTTCATATCTGTTTCCTTTGTTTTGTATTTGTAGTGCGGCATTACGAAGTGGTTTATCTAATTCATGAGAAGCATGCTGAAGAAGTTGATACTGTGAACGCGAAGGTTCAAGGTAGAGTGAATTACTACAATGTTCCTTGTACTACAGAGAGTTGAATTTTAGATTTAAGTGAAATGTTGTTAATGCTTGTTAAAAGAAGCCTTGGTTTTTGGCTAGATTTCCTGAGGGAGAAGAAGGGAAAGATATGGAGAATGAACGACTGGGGGATGAGAAGGCTAGCATACAAGATTCAGAAAGCCAAGAATGCGCACTACATCCTGATGAACTTCGAGCTGGAAGCCAGATGGATCGACGAGTTCAAGACCATGCTAGACCAAGACGAGAGGGTCATTCGACACCTCGTGATCAAGAGAGATAAAGCCATCACTGAGGACTGCCCTCCTCCACCCGAGTTCCATACCCTTCGCGCTGATATGGATGGTGATGATGATGAAGATGAAGAGTTTGACGATGACGAGGAGTGGGATGAAGATGATGAAGAAGAAGGTGAGATGGAGGGTGATGAAGAGATGGAAGATGATGATGGAGTTGTGATTGTGAACATTGATGATGATGAAGAGAATGAAAATGGGAGGGTCCATTTGACTGGTGTAGGCAACTTGAGGAGAAGGAATAAGGTGGCTGATCAAGTGAGAAGGTAGTTTCTTCAACCTTTTCCTTTTTGTTCTGGTCTATTAACATGGAGGGTAGGTCTAATTAGTGTGTATTACTTAATGGTTCTGTGGTTTCATCAGACGATAATATAGTAACAGGTAGTTCATTTTCCTACGACTGATTGAGCTCCTTATCTCTGGATCTTTCACTTTCTACTTTCGCCATTGCTATTAGTTGCCTAAGCTTGCTTGTTTCAGCTAAGTACAGCTTCTTACGCCTGTAGTTCTCTTTGACAATCACTCGAATCAGTATTTGATTTCGAGTGGCGCCTCGAGAGCTATGTGTACTTCTCGGATATGTAAGTGGGATAAAAGGAAAACGACTTTGGGATCAGAGTAAACGGAGTTGGAATGTGTTCTCCTCTCTGTGAGCGTTGGTTGTGCTCCGAAGAGAAGGGATCTTGAATGGCATAAGGAGTCGGAGCGTAGAGCCAGTTTGGCAGAGCTCAAGGCTCTGAGGGAAAAGCTGGTCAAGGCTTGGAGCCGAGGCTAGTGATCTACATCCAAGACTGGCAGGCAAAGCTCGAGGCCAAGCCCGCCGGGGGATTGGCTTGGGATTCTTCCTGAGGCCAGCTCGACAGGATGGAACCGCTGCCCTGGCCAGCCTAGCTAACTTGAGAGAAGTTTGCAGAAGGATGTAACTTGTTAGAGCTGACATGAGCGAGCCTGGTTGTCAAGGTTAACAACAATCTTTAGAAAAGTTCAACCCAGATTTGGACGTAAATAGCTCTAGTGTTTGGCTTGGGAGGATGAGTTGGAAATATGATGATAGGTCACACGCCTACTTGTGGATTTGGGGAGGAAATGTGAATTGAAATCTCGTTGGGGGACAGTTGGTAATGGATGCAATGTAATATGCGTAAATGTTTGAATTCCATAACAGCATTTATTTTAGGTAGAATTGGTCTTCTTCCTCGCTGAGGATGCTCTTCGCAATTCAAACTCTTGTATACTATGAATTCTGAACGATATGAGTCTGTTTATCTTCAAATTTAGATAAATAAAGTATTTGTTTTTAGAATTTATAAGCTAAACATTTTTAATTTGATGCAAATGCTTTGTGTTCGAGCCCAAGCGACTAAAGAGCCATTTAGGTTCGGAGGGTTTGGAGAGTGAGACATAACTACAAGGGAACAGACGCCCCACTTATTAAGAGAGTAAGAGAAGAAGTTAAAGAAAGAAAGTGATGATTAGTTGTAGTAAATATAGATAGTTTGTCATTTATGAATAGATAACTTCTATTTATATAAGTTTGGATGTTAGCTACATGGTTTTGGCGTCTGCCGAGCCATAAATGATGTGGTAGGACGTTTGAGGGTCTCTGATATTGTACATTGTACTATCATGTCAGAAGGTGTTCGTCGTTCGGTGGTGTAGAAAGTGTTACTTTGACCTCTCATTTGTTGATGTTAGGTGAGTAAACTTGTCTCTTGGCTTTATCCTCTTCGTGAGCTCTTTTGTCTCTTCTCTCGATGATGTTAGTCATTAAGATTTTGGCCTTATGAAATTTCTCCATTTACAAACTTTTGGCCCTTATACCCTATCACTTTGCAAGTTATAGATAATACTATAAAAAACTTATATAAAGATCAATATTTAATAACATAATCAGAATTACTGGAAAAATCTTAATTAAGGGCTCTTTTGGTGAATTGCCATGTAAATTTTTGGATTCTAAACAATTCAAATTGAGAAAATATTTTAATTTTTTTTATTGTTTGATAATTATTATTGCTTCAGTGAAAAATAGAAACTCTATATTTTTTATCGAACAACATATTTAAATTTAATAACAAGAATTAGACGGGTTTGAGAAACATTAATGTGAATTTTGTAGTAAGTGCATATAGTGGGGAAAAAATTAAAAGAGATAAAATAGTATTAAAAACTCTCAAAAATAAATGTGTAGAATCTCTCTGAGAGATTTGTTATTTAATAGATAATTAAATCTCTAAACTAAGGAGAAAATAACCCAAATAAAATGCTACAGGTAAAGAGGTGGATTATACTACAAATTTTGGAAATGTTGAACATTTTAACATCTAAAGCACAGTGCAGGCTATTCAGACCATACCGTTGCCAAAGGGGGTGGTGGATTGCCAAGTCTGGACAGGTGAGGGGGACGGGGAGTATACGGTGAAGTCAGGATATCATCTGGCTTTTCAGAATGCTAAAAGGGTACAGGAGTGGAAGGCTGAGGTTTCTTTTTTTGATATGGCTTGCTGGAAAAAGCCGTGGGGGCTTCCCATTCCTCCGAAATTGAAAAGTTTTCTTTGGCAGTGCATGAAGCGGATCCTTCCTACTATGGAAACTATAATTGAGAGGACAGGTAGAGTACCGGAGGATATTGAGCCTGATCCTGGGACTGATGGGCATGGAGCAGCTATTGATCCCAAGTGTCCGGTGTGTTGGGAGTCGTTAGAGACATTAGAGCATATGTTTCTCTCATGTCGGCTGGCATTGGGGCTATGGGAGAGGTCAGGTTTGGGGACAGGACAGGTGAGGCAGCCTCCATTGAATTTTACCTTGTTTCTTCGCAGATTCTTTGAACAGGAGACCAATGTAGAGAGGATAATTCGGTTTGTGGCATTGCTGTGGAGGATTTGGAAAAGTCGGAATTGGGTGGTGTTTGATCAGGTTCAGTATGGGGTGAGTACACTGGTGAGACAATTTGAGGAGCAAGTTCGTGAGTGGTTGGCTTTGATTGAGTCTGGTGGTTGTAGGCAGGTCCAGGTGCAGCAAGTGCGTGGACAGGCTGGTGTGGATTGGGGCCCGTAGCCTGCTATGCCGTATCGCTGTTATGTGGATGGTGCTGTTCTCACTGGGTCGCATGGAGCTGGGGGGTTGGTGGTGTATGATGGGTTGGGTAGGATGTGTTTTGTTCAAGGTTTTCGTTATGCAGGTTTGGAGGATCCTTTTCTGGTAGAGTTGGTTGCATTTCGTGATGCAATTCAGTGGTGCTCTTTGAAGGGTCTAGTTGAAGTGCAGTTCTACGGGGATGCGAAGGTCGTCATTGACAAAATTCAGACCAGGTATACTCGGGATGTGAAAGGTGGTCGGATTCTTGAAGAAATTCGGAAGCTAAGGCATCTCTACCTGCGCTTCAAGGTGGCCTTTATTGGCAGGAGTAACAATCGGGTGGCCCATGAGGTGGCTAGGAAGACCCTTTCTTTGTTGCCTGCAGTTGTAGATACTTTTGATTTTTGTCGTTGGTTTGCTTTTGAGATGTAAACTTTTCTAGCTGTTTGCCTTGGTAATACAAGTGATCTATTGGTAAAAAATACACCTATTAACGAGTATATGGGAAGGTAATTGAATTAGGCGAATTAATCGCGGAGCGCCATTAAAGCTACATCTTTCGCTACTCCTACTCCACGCCATTGGAAGAAGAAAAGCAGAGCTAGTGCTTCCATATAATGGTTGTTTGACCTAAAAATTAAACCAATACCAAATGCTACTACAATTGCACTAAATAAACTGGATAGCAATTAAGATAATAACAGTACGGATTGAAGCAATATCAAATTGAGACTAGTTAGGGATGGTAATTTGAATTCGTTATGTTAACGATCTTAGTAGTGATGGGATGGGTATTACCCAATTTGTCATAGCATAGGCGAAGCATGACGCACTATTTCTGACCTATCTTGCTCTGTCCCGTCTTATTCTTGACCTATCCTATCTCAATCTATTTTTATCTTAGTCTACGGGTCTTTAAAAAATATAATCTATTTATCTCAAAATCTATTTATATTTCTTCAATTTGGGCTTTCTACAATCATATTTTCACTCAATGGAACCTTGAATAGTTTCAAGACTTGATCTTTTAATTGGACTCAATTAACCACTCTACTATAACTTATTTTCATTAATAAAGTATTTTCTTTTGTTTTATTGTAAGAACTATTTTTTTTAATGTAAAAATGGGTCAACCTATCCCGATCTATACTTGCACGAGTATTGCCCAACCCGACTCGCACTTGGTATGAGTAGTATAAGTATTAGACACTTGTTATCCATTACTGGCCGTACCATTTCAAATTGACCATACAACAAAGTGAGAAGCTAATTATACAATGGACAAAATCAATACTAATAACAAATTAACCATACGATTACAAACATCAAGCAAAATCATTACCATAGAAATATACCCAGTACGAGTAGAACTACATATGAGTGCCGCCATTACCAAACTTAATAAACATACCATAAAAGTCAACTAAGATGCTTCTACTAGTACCACCAAACTTAGTACAAGTATGAATTGAAGCAATATCAAAACTGAGATGGTACTACAAGTAAGAATTTAACAAATACCAAATTGAGAAATTAATACTAATACCTATACGAATTGAACTAATACCAAACTGAGATTGTACCGATGAGAAGGGATTTTTTTATAAGTGTGATTTAGGTTTACTTTTTGTGGTTAAGTAATACTTAACCTATTCGAAGTTGAGACTTTCAGGTTCAAAACTAGTAGTACCACTAGATCAAACCCTTATAGAAGTTTACATGGATATGATCCTTCATCAGTCATCGCGGTTTTGTCAGTGGCATGGATAAGAATAAAACTGGGTATACGAATAGGATGAAAAATGAAAGTTCGACAAAGAGAAACACTTTCTCTCTCTTCCCTCTATTCTTTCCTTTTTTATGGATAATGACGCCAACAAGTGACGGAGCGATGGATAAGAGAATGGTCATATTTAGGGATGTACAACGGGTTTAATTTATACCGGAAAGCATCGAATGAAACCGACAGTTAGACCATACCAAACGTGGTCCAATACTCGTGAATTTTATAAACAATGAAGAAAAAATATGTATCAAATTAACATTTTGACCGTATCACATCAGATCAAATACAATATTAATCTGATCCTTTATTCTAAAATGTATTTCACTGTTGAACCACAGTTCGATCCGTTTGAAAACCGAACATTGCACACTCCTAATAATAGTAGCTTATGGCAAAATAATAGTAGCTACTAGGGGTCGGCAACATGCTAACCCGGTGGCCATTCATGTCCTTGGTGACCAACAAAAAGAAAAGGCAAAAAGGGCAAGATCAATTTGCTCCTCTTGAATTTGCTCTCTCCTCCTCCTCTCTTGAATGAGCAACACTTGTTCACTCACCCTCTTGCGCCGCGTGTCCCTCACACTCTTTAACCCCCTTATTATAAATACACCTAGTTTAACAATTTCAACATTTCATTCCCACCTTCACAAACCCCCTTCACTCCTTCCTCAGCCATGGCCACCTCCCATCTCGTCTCCTCCTTCTTCTTCTTCTTAACATCACTTCTTCTTCTCCTTCCATCCTCCCACTCCACTCCATTCGGCGGCCGCACCGCTCCGGCCACCGTGCCCCCATCCGACGTCGATCTCCTCGAGTTCCCCTTGAACCTAGAGTACCTCGAGGCAGAGTTCTTCCTCTTCGGCGCCTTGGGCCACGGCCTGGACGTTTACGCCCCCAACTTGACCGCCGGCGGCCCACCGCCCATCGGCGCCCGCAAGGGCAATCTCGACCTTATCACGCGTGACATCATCGAGCAATTTGCATGGCAAGAAGTCGGCCACGTGAAGTACACACAACTATAATTAACTAACTAACTTCCAAGTTCTTTTTGTACGTAGCTTTCCACTTTGGTGGTAAATTTAGTTGAACTTTTAATTTTGCAAGGGCGATTAAAAACAGCGTGAAGGGATTTCCGAGGCCACAGCTCGATCTGAGCGCTGCAACGTTTGCGAAGGTGATCAATGACGCATTTGGAAGGCCATTGTCGCCGCCTTTCGACCCTTACGCCAATGGGATCAACTACCTCATCGCCTGTTACCTCATTCCGTACGTTGGGCTCACTGGGTATGTTGGAGCCAACCCAAAACTCCAAGGCCCAGGTTCTAGACAGGTATATGCTAAGAGAAAGCCCATCCACCGTCATTTCTAAGAACAGTTATCAATTTCATTAACTTTTAGTTGAATTGTTGGAGGTGGAGGAAATTCGATTTAAATCATAAAGTCGTTACAATTTTAAGATATTACTTACCTCTTTTCATTCTAATTTTACTATAAAATCTATGGGAACCTTAAAATCTTACAATATTCACGATTGAAGTTTTTAAAGTATTTACAATCCTACGATTTTCCAAGATTTGAACGATTTGAACGTCCATATTGAATTTGCATCGAATTAAACCAAGTTATTAGGAATAAGAGATCAGATCTTTGAGTCCGATTTACTTATTTTACCCCCAAATTAACAATACATAACTTTTTTCCCCCTCCATCATCATCATCAACATCATAAAGTTCTCTCTAACTTACCACCATCTACCATCATTAGTTCATGTCAACGCATTAATCCCCACCGATTCACCATTTTCCAACATTAACCTTGAAAATTAAACATTAAGATCGAGAAATTATCATTTTAAGTGTTATGTATCTTTGTGTTGTTCATAATTTTCCTTGTTAATACTATTTAGTGTTTGTTTTAATGTGGACTTTAAAGTCCCTACAATTTTACGATTCAAATTTTACTTTGGTTTTTTTTTTTTTACTTACATTAACTGTGTTACATGTATGGTACTCAACCACTTCCTTATGTTTACTAACGAATACTAACGAACCGTTTCTTGCTACCGCGCGCGTTCCGATCGATCAGCTGCTGGCGGGGCTGCTGGCGGTGGAATCGGGGCAAGACGCGGTGATAAGGGCGCTGCTGTACGAGCGGGCGATGGTGACGGTGCGTCCGTACGGGATCACGGTGGCGGAGTTCACCAACCGGATCTCGGTGCTGAGGAACAAGCTGGGGAGCGCCGGGATCAAGGACGAAGGGCTACTGGTTCCCAGGGTGTTGGGAGCCGAAGGCAGAGTGAGAGGCAACGTGCTGGCCGGCGACGAGCTCTCGCTCGGCTACGGGAGGACACCGGAGGAGATACTGAGGATTGTGTACGGCGGCGGGAATGAGTCCGCGCCTGGCGGGTTCTACCCTAAGGGCGCCCGCGGTCGCATTGCCGAGTCTCACTTGGCCCATATGTAGAAGAAATAAAGGTCGTTTAATTTTAGAGTGTTGCTGATGGATTTATGCCGTAGTTTTTGTGTTTGTTTCGTCCAGGTAATAAAAGTTGGGAGTATTTTGTCCCAAAACAAGAAAGCTGGGGTGGTTTTTGTGAGATGGTCTTGTTTAGATATTTGAAATAGAAAGAGTAAGGAATAAGATAGGAGGCAATGGAAGATACATCTTTTTGTCTTGCAGAAAGATAAGTAGGTTGGGTAAAACTAAAAATTATCACTAAAAAAAAGTAGTGTGTTTGTGAAAATATTTTAGTCAAATTGATACTTGATTTAAGACAAATGGATGAAGTATTTGATAAAGTTTTCGATAATTACCTATCTTTGTCAAATTAATTCGTCGAAATGATTGGTGTAATGATAAGAGCCGGTGGCGGACCAATAATTCTCGTACATGTGTATCGGCCGATAAAATTAAATAAAAATTAAATAAATTTTTATTATATTTTTTTTGAAACACAACGAGAAGTGGGATCGAAAGAGGTAAAGGAAGGGAAATACTAGGGTATTTTTGATAAGATAGACAATAATAAAGAGCGATAGTCCATATGCAACCAGACTCGGGATGAAAGAGCTTTTTTTTGTCACTAGGTGGACAGCTCTGTGAAAGCTACAAGGATCAAGAAGAAACAAAACTTATTCACGTAGAGAGAAAAAGGAGAAAACTTCCTTACGATTACCCCTGCCCAAGACCTAAGAGTAATAAACCATTGCCTCCAAATGCTTAAGCAATGGAAAGAACACCAAATTGTGATAAGTTAACTAAAATTTAAAATAAATAATATATTTACGTATTTTGGGAACTTTATGCCACCAATTTCATCGTAGTGCATTGAAAGTGTGTCGATTACAATTATTGAAGGTGTGTCGAAAGTCCTAAATTCCAAAAAATTATACCGACAAAACATGGGGTTCTCACAAAATATTCGAGCGGAGGTGTGTCGCTTGACACACCTCCCTAACACATGGGTCCGCCCCTGATAAGAGCTACGAGAACCCAGGCGCTCAAGCAACATATGCTAGAAGACATACTGAAAGAAACTGAAAACGAGAAAGACAATCGATTCACGTGGTATCTTTGAATAAGAAACTGGAAATCATAAAAATAATTGATTTTATGTGGTATCTCTGAATAATCAGGACTATCTACGAGAGAGTTTGGACACTCTCAGAGCTACTGATCTGTATTACTTGATAATCTCGACACATCCTACTCAGCCACACATATACAACACAAACCCTACACTTGATAATCTCGACAGACATCGAAGAATAAGAGTGCTACGAGGCTGAGATCCCAGTCCATGCTTTAACCGACCTTTCGTCGGACAAAAAAATTAGGCTATGGACCTCGGTGGTCTGAGCCAAACTACTCGTCCTTATTGACAACGAATCTACTCATAATTTTTTCAGTAACCTTGTTGTCATTCTTCGTCTTGTTGCGACTCCAATCCAACCTTTCAACATTAAGATCGAGGATGGTAAGTGAATTCCAGTTTTCCGATGAGGAAAATCTTGTGTTTAATTTCAATCAATGCACCTTGAACAACGACAATAACACGGTTCACACTCTCTCCGAACAATGTTCGAACGAGTGTGTTTGATGTTTTTTTGGGAACAACTAAGTTAATTACACCTACTCTTATGGAGGTTCAGTAAGAGCTCCGAAAACTAAAGACTAATGGCTAATTTGCACAGACAAGATAATTTTTGACATTGTGTGTCAAATGTTTGGTTGTCGACCGAACCCTTGCTTCTTTTTCGTTTCTCCTATTTATAGCCACTAGGTGTAACTGCATTGGCAACTGCCCTGGTAACTGCTAGCTGGCATGTTGCTCCAACCACCTTGGGGACCCTTGTCATCGCCTTGATAGTCAATTGGTAATCGTTATCTTGGTCTTCACCCCATTGCCTTGGGGATCCTTAGACCGTCTTGTTGACCGGTTGGTACTTGTCATCTGGGTGGCTTGGCATCGGGCTTGATTGGTGTTGAGTTGATCTCCATCTTTCCGCCTCATGTTGACTAGAAGGGGTTGGGGCGTCCTTGTCTTGCCTCCAACACATTGGTCCTCTCATTGGGCCTCCTCAACGACCAGCACTTAGCTCCTTTGTTGCCGACCTAGTACCATCTCGTCTTGTTGCCTATCTCGCATCTCAACTTGCCATCCTCATCTTGTTAGCTAAGCCTTTTTACCCACCTAGACAAGATGAGAACTTTGACTCTTTCCCCACCAAGTCTCCACACTTAATCGTAGAGAGCTTGTCGTGGCAAAAACTTGACATCTTGGTATCAAACTTGACCGTTTGGTACTTGCCATCAGGCTTGATTGGTGTTGAGTTGAGCTCCATCTTGCCGCCTCATGTTGACTATAAGGGGTTAGGGCCTCATTGTCTTGCCTCCACCACATTGGTCCTCTCATCGGGCCTCCTCAACGACCCCGCACTTAGCTCCTTTGTTGCCGACTTAGTACCATCTCGTCTTGTTACCTATCTCGCCTCTCAACTTGTCATCCTCATCTTGTTAGCTATGCCTTTTTACCCACCTGTACAAGATGAGAACTTTGACTCTTTCCCCACCAAGTCTCCACACTTAATCTTAGAGAGCTTGTCGTGGCAAAAACTTGACATCTTGGTATCAAACCCGTCTTATCGGCCGGCTTGGTACCCTCTTGCTTGGCTACCAAGCCTAGTTTGTTGGCTTGACACCCTGATGGTGTCTTGGTATCAAGCCCGCCTTGTCGGCTTGGTACCCCTTGGCTCCATAATTAGCCAATTTTCATGTGCTTTGGTACCAAGTTTTGCCGCCTTGTTTCCATACAAGGTTTTTGGAAGCCAAATTTCATACCAAGGGGTAGAGGCATCGTTCGACTATGGGGGCCAAGGAGACTGGTCGGCCATCATGTATGGGAGAAGGAGTTTGGCCACTTAAGTCCAAAAACCCAAGCCAACAAGGCCCAACTAGCACTTTTAATTAATAAATGTTGAGCTAATCTTATAAATTTATTAAATCTCTTGTAGTTAATCGATGTGGTACAAGCTGGCTTTTTATGGATAAACAATTGGCAAAATACACTTCTATAGCCATAACTTTGCACTTTGTGACAAATATAGCCAAATTTGAAAAAAATACACAGAAATAGCCATTCCGTCCAATAATGTAACGGAAATATAACGATGGCTGACTGGATAAACGGTCGTATTTTACCGCGTTTCATTGGTCTACGTGGCATGCCATGATGGAAAATAAAATTATTTATATTTATTACGTTAAATAAAAAAATAAAATAAAAAGTTCATCTTCATCTCTCCATCCCACCTTTTTCATCTTTCCTCCAATTTCCCCAGACCCCTTTCATCTACCCCAGACCCCTTCCATCCGCCCAAAATTTCTATCTCCAAAACCTTCCTCTTCTCCTCCCCGTATCTACTGTCGCCGCCAAAGCCGTCCTCCGGTCTCAATCTTCTCCACCTCCTCATCTACCAAAACACCGCAACAACCTCTACACTGCAGCAGTGCCACCGCTGCCAATCCTCTCGGCACACCTACCATCTTCGTCACCGACCACAAGTACGGATCTGGAGACAAGATTCTAGATCTAGAAGCCAGAGTGTCAAAGGGGGTACTGCGGCGTCAGATCTGGAGGAGGTGCCACTCGCAACTCTGTCTTCTCGTCGCCCATCGCCAGCCCCGCCACTCGCCACTTCAAGCTTCAAGCGCCTCAAAAACCCTAGCCAAAACCGCCTTCTTCAGACCACCATAAACTTATCCCGCCGACGGCCACAACAAATCCCCTCCGCCTGGGCTTTTGGGTTTCCTGGGTTTCGAATCCTCAATTGCATCTATCTTACCTTTCTTATCTTCTTCCATTCGATCTTCTTCGATGATTGGACTGGACTTCTCGATCCTTCCTCTTCTGGTTTCCTTTCTGCCACCATTCAGTTCTGTTACATTATTGACGATTCGTTCGATTCTTCGACGAAGTCCCTTTCTTCTATCCTTCGATTCGATTGATTCCTCGACGAATTCGCTTCTTTCAATTTTCTCAATCGTCGATTGGCCAAAGATTTTTTTTTTTTGAAAGAACGAGCCCAGGAAAGATGAAGAAGAAAATGTTATGTTGACATTTTTTGGAAATAATATTTTTAAATCAATAATATATTTTATTTTGATATGGTGTACATGTGGCATAATTGGTGACTGAGAAATGACGTGGAAGCTGAGGAGGCGCCACCTAAGCTTGTTGTTGACAGGTGTTAACGGCATCTTTAACACCGTTAAATTTTTTAACGAAAATGGCTAAATTTGTCATATATGTTTCAAAATCTGGCTATTTTAGGGTATTTTTTCAAGTTTGACTATATTTGTCACAAACTGCAAAGTTATGGCTATGGAAATGTATTTTGCCTAAACAATTCCATGTACATCGAAGTATGAGAACGATGAACTCCACGTGCATGCAGCCACATTCCATGTGTAGATTATTTGATATAGACTTAGTTAGCTAATGAAATCATGTGTAGAGCACCATTTGTGCGAGGGGTGAAGCTTTTGTTGATTTGATAAATAGGTTATGTCGCCTAAGGGGATTGCGTCCAATGACCACACCCCTGTTTCACTGAAGCATTTAGCTAATGAAATCATGTGTAAAGCACCATTTGTGCGAGGGGTGAAGCTTTTGTTGATTTGATAAATAGGTTATGTCGCCTTGAGTGATATGGTAGAGATTCCGTTCATCCGGCTTGTTACTTCGTTTCATGAATAATACTGTAAGATTGAAGAGTGTCTTCAGTAATCGAAGGAAATAAAAGAAGGCAGTCAATCATTAAGTATAAACCCACGACTCTCAAACTGGTCGGTTTCGCCAGAAAAAGAAGAACACAATCACTCTTTTTTTTGTCCAATAAGGCACAAAAAAAAGAGAACCACATTACAAGACCGACTTCAACGACACACGGTAGTTCGTATACAACCGAACTACCGATGAAAGAGCTTTTTTTGCCACTACACGGGCAACTCTAAGAAAAAAGACACGATACAACAAAAACGTAAGAGATGAAAATAAATAACCTCACAGATAGCCTCCACCAATGAGTGAGTTTGCCAAAAATGTTAAATGCCCGGTTATGAGCTGTCACCATATGTCACAACAAAAAAAGTAACCATTAAACACTATCCCATAACAACTTGAAGAGAAAACAATTT